ATATATATATATATATATATATATATATATATATATATATATATATACATATGTACAAATATATAAATGTAGAAATAGACATACAAATAGACAAATATAGAACAAAAGAATATATATAAAAATGGATACAAATATATAGATATATAAATAGATAAATAAACATATAAATATATAAATAAGTAAATAAATATATAAATATATAAATATATAAATGAATAAATAAATGTATAAATAAATACATGATAAATAAACAAATAGAACACCGACAGAACACTGAACACCATCAGCCACAGCAGCAACTGCAGCAGCAGCAGCAGCAGCAGCAACAGCAGCAACAGCAGCAACAGCAACAACAGCAGCAGTACTGACCAGGTGTCTCCTTGATGGTTTCTTGGTATCTCCTAAAGAGTTCTTCTTCATGCTCAAATGTTTTTTTATTTTTATTTTTATATTTATTTTTATTTTTATTTTTATTTTCTTGGTCTATACCTAATCTACTAAGAGCAGCATCAAGTGTCTCCTTTTCAGAGCTGCCTATACACCCCAATTCTTCTGTCTCCGCAGCAAGAGGAAACTCAGGCAAGGAGACAAACACAGACCCAAATTTTACTCTTTTTAAACAACGAGCATGCAATACACGAAACCCTGCACACAACAAACCCTAAACCCTAAACCCTAAACCCTAAACCCTAAACCCTAAAAATATTGAAAGAGAAAGAAACATATTCACATACAAACGGGCTCCAGAATATATGTAACGACGGGTTTAGGGTTTAGGGTTTAGGGTTTACGTTGTATATGAGCAGCATCAAGCATGAGGAGTCCCCTTTGGTCTGTCTCTGTGTCTTCTCTCTCAAATTCTATTTCATCTATATCCTGCACCGCCGGGGTGTCTGTCTCCTCTTCCTCTTCTGCTGCTGCTGCTGCTGCTGCTGCTGCTGTCTCCTGCTGCTGCTGCAGCAGCAGCACCTCAAGTCTACGTTCTTCTCGCAGCAGCTGCTGCTGCAGGCCCGCTGCTCGCTATACGTGCATTTGCTGCTGCCTCTATCCTCCCCTTCTCTGTCCTTCTGTCCACGCTGCTGCAGCAGCAGCTGCTGCTGCTGCTGCTGCAGCTGCTGCTGCTGCTGCTGCTGCTGCTGCTGCTGCTGCCAGAGAGACCAGAATTCTTTTTTCGAAGAAAAGAAAGTGGAGACAGCACAGCTGGGGTATTCTTCGTTGTCTCTGCTGAGGTGTACAGACACCCCACGAAAATATAAACCACAAGCAAAACAACAAAATATATAAAGACAACGATGAAACGATTCAGGCGGGCCGTCCTCAACAGGTGCATACAGCTGCAGCAGCACAAGCAACACAGCAGCAGCAGCAGCAGCAGCAGATATGAGAAAAGGTAGTAGGAGGAGCAGCAGCAGCAGTTATGGTAGCAGCAGCAGGAGAAACAGAAGCAGCAGCAGCAGCAGAAGCAGCAGCGCAGCACTTCTTTTTGTTGATGTGCTGCGGTTGCTGCAGCAACAGCAACCGTAGCAGCAAACTGCTGCTGCTGCTGCAGCAGCTATAGGAGCAGCAGCAGCAGGGAATGCAGCAGCTCTCCTGCTAGCAGCAGCAGCAGCTGCTGCTGCAACAGGAGCAGCAGCAGCAGCAACAGCAACAGTAGAATCACCTGCTGCAGCAGCAAAATCAGATCCCTAACCCTCAACCCCCAAACCCCAACCCCCCAAAACCCTAAACCCTAAACCCTAAACCCTAAACCCTCACCTGTACGAGCAGAGACAGGGGGACCTGAGGTGTACATACACCGCAGAACAAGTCAGCAGGCGGCGGCAGCAAATGAAAGTGAGGCAAACCCCCAACCTTAGAAGGAAAAAACCACCGAGGGGTTCTTCTCTCCTCCTCCATAAACCCTAGAGATATCTCCTCCGCCTCCATCGTGAGGGTTTAGGGTTTAGGGTTTAGGGTTTAGGGTCTAGGGTTTAGGGTTTAGGGTTTAGGGGTTGGGGGTTAGGGTTTTGTTGTTGGAGGCACAGGAACAGGTACAAACGTCACATAATATTTCAATGATGATGTTAGAGGGTTTAGGGTTTAGGGTTTAGGGTTTAGGGTTTAGTGATTGGGGCCCTCAGCATAGAATCCAGGGTTTAGGGTTTAGGGTTTAGGAATAGAGGAGACGAAGACCCTAAAAATACTCAAAACAATACAGAAAAGTTCAAGTGTCAAGGGATAACAACTAAACCCTAAACCCTAAACCCTAAACCCTAAACCCTAATCTGAGGGTCTTCTGTCTCTGCCTGCTGCATAGGGGCCCCAACCCTAACCTTTCTGTATTTCTTTGTCTCCTCTATCTAACCGAAAAAAATAAATTAATTTATTTTTTGTATTTACACCTAAATATTGTCTCTAGCTCTAGATCTCCTGGCGGCTCTAGGGTTTAGGGTTTAGGGTTTAGGGTTTAGGGTTTAGGGTTTTGCGGGCCTGCAGCTGTGGGGCCCCCGCCCCCGGCCTTCTCCCCTCTTTCCTTCACCATAGCAGCAACAAAAAAAAAAAAATAAAAAAGAGAAAACTGAGGTGTACATACACCTCAGAAACAGGGAGGAGGCGGCGACCTGGCCGCTCCTAACCCAACTGCTAGGGTTTAGGGTTTAGGGTTTAGGGTTTAGGGTTTAGGGTTTAGGGTTTAGCGGTGAGAATCTTCTAGACAAGATGGGGAGCCTTAACGAGGAGCAGGATGAGTCCGTCATCTCTTTGGCGTTGCTGCAGGTAACCCTTTTTTCTAGGGTTTAGGGTTTAGGGTTTAGGGTTTAGGGTTTAGGGTTTTGTGTTGTTGTATATATATATATATTGTTGATATATAGGGTATTAGGGTTTAGGGTTTATATTTGGGTGTATTGTTTGCCNTATATATATATATATTGTTGATATATAGGGTATTAGGGTTTAGGGTTTATATTTGGGTGTATTGTTTGCCTTCATCCTAAACCCTTAATATTTATATATTGTGGTTTGAGCCTTATCCACATCTCAGGGTTTAGGGTTTGCATCATTTCTAGGGTTTAGGGTTTAGGGTTTAGGGTTTAGGGTTTAGGGTTTAGGGTTTGTGTACAGAACAAAATAAAAAGAGACCCAGAAGCATACAAAGAAGAGTTTAAGTTGCAGCTGATGAACTTCGAGGGTTTGATCGCAGCCCTCAAAGAACAACCCTACAGACCCACCAGAAAACTACAAACCCTCGCCATGTTCCTTGCTCACGTAAACCCTAAACCCTAAACCCTAAACCCTAAACCCTAAACCCTCAACCCTAATAAAAAGAAAAAAGAAATTACAGACCCTAGCCGTGCTCGTAGCACGTGTAAACCCTAAACCCTAAATATAACTCCCTACAGACCCACCAGAAAACTACAAACCCTAGCCATGTTCCTTGCTCACGTAAACCCTAAACCCTAAACCCTAAACCCTAAACCCTAGTAAAAAGAAAAAGGAAACTACAAACCCTAGCTATGTCCCTTGCTCACGTGAACCCTAATCCCTAAACCCTAAACCCTAAACCCTAAAAAATAACTAGAACGGGGAAGCTACAAACCCTAGCCAAGTTCATAGCACACGTAAACCCTAAACCCTAGATACACCATCAGACCCTACTCACACCTCCAAACCCTTTACAATGGATCTGCTGCTTCCGCCTCTGCTGCTGCTGCTGCTGCTGCTGCTGCTACTGCTGCTGCTGCTGCTACTGCTGTTGCTGCTGCTGCTGCTGCTGCTGCAGACAGCTCCTTGCTACAGTGCTGCAGTTGATGATGCCTGGGCCTCGGGGGCCCCCGAGGCCCCCAAGGGGGCCCCCGTCTTCGATGCGTTTGCCCCAGATACCTTTCCTGGCCAGGAGGGGGCCCCTGGGGGCCCACTGGGGGGCCCCATGGGGGGCCCCCCTGGGGGGCCCCCAGGGGGCCCCTCACCCTGTACCCAGCTGAAAGAGACAATAAAAGAGATGCTGATGCAGACAGACCTCCACCCCACCACGAGACATGCGCTGCTGAACGGGTTGCTGCTTCTAAGAAGCAAGAAGATGGTCCTCAAACCCTAAACCCTAAACCCTAAACCCTAAACCCTGAATTTTTGTTTTGTTTGAGGGTAGTAGATGCGAGTAAAGAGGGTTGTGTTGGGGTGTTTCACAGGCGAAACAAGGCTTAGGGTTTATGAGGGTTTAGGGTTTACTAGGGTTTAGGGTTTCCTAGGGTTTAGGGTTTAGGGTTTAGGGTTTGTTGTGTTGGTTGCAGCTGAGCTGCGAGGAGCTGCTGCAGCAGGCCCTGTCTCTGCTGTCTCTGCGGGATAAATTTGTGCGGCAGCGGCTGATGACTTTCGTAGTAAAAGATGTATCGAGGGTTTTCGCAGCCACCACAAACAACCAAGTCAGGGTTTAGGGTTTATTAGGGTTTAGGGTTTATAAGGGTTTATAAGGGTTTAGGGTTTATTAGGGTTTATTAGGGTTTAGGGTTTAAGGGTTTAGGGGTGCTGAAGGATGCTGTGCGTTTGAGGGTTTACAGCATTCGCAGTATCTTTGTATTTTAGGGTTTATAAGGGTTTAGGGTTTATGAGGGTTTAGGGTTTAGGGTTTGTGTGTGTGGTATGTATGCAGTCTCGGAGTTGTTTATTAACTCATTTATTTACTTTACTAAGGAGTGGTTCTTCTCCTCTGCCAGCTCGTCTCTCTCTTTGTTGTTTATTTCAGGTGTACAGACACCTCAGCTCAAAAGGGTTAAACAAAAACGCAGCAGCAGCAGCAAAAATTGTAAATGCTGTTGCTGCTGTCACTCTAGCAGCAGACGCCAGACTCGCGCTCAGCGCCGCTCTCTTCTTACTCGGAGAGATACAGGTACGGGTTTAGATATAGCTAGCTCACAGCTAGCTCAGAGCTAGCTGGTAGCTAGCTGAGAGCTAGCTGGTAGCTAGCTGGTAGCTAGCTGAGAGCTAGCTGATAGCTAGCTGGTAGCTAGCTGAGAGCTAGCTGGTAGCTAGCTGGTAGCTAGCTGGTAGCTAGCTGGTAGCTAGCTGGTAGCTAGCTGGTAGCTAGCTGGTAGCTAGCTGGTAGCTAGCTGAGAGCTAGCTGGTAGCTAGCTGAGAGCTAGCTGGTAGCTAGCTGAGAGCTAGCTGATATCCAGCTGATAGCTAGCTGACAGCTAGCTGATAGCTAGCTGACATAATGCTGGTAGCTAGCCGACAGCTAGCTGGTAGCTAGCTGACAGAATGCTGGTAGCTAGCTTGTAGCTAACTGGTTGAATGCTGGTGGCTAGCTGCTAGCTACTTGCTAGCTGCGTGCCTAGATGTCCTAGCTAGTTATATCAGCTAGCTAGCTAGCTAGCCAGCTAGCTAGCCAGCTAGCGAGCCAGCTAGCTAGCCAGCTAGCTAGCCAGCTAGCTGCTGCTGTCTTGTGTCTGTTGGTGCTGTACAGGCTGCTGCAGTGCAGGCGAGCCACTCGATCCAAGCTGATGAAGAAGAAGACGAGGAAGCAGTTGCTGCTGCAGCAGCAGCAGAACTGCAGCAGCAGAGCGCTATACACTCAAAGAAAACGCTAGCAGCAAAGAGAAAACTAAAAAAACAAAAGGTCAATATACACCCCAACACGAAACAGCCTCCTCTGGAAGAGACCGTTGCTGCTGCAGCAGCAGCAGCAGAGCAGCAGCAGCAGCAGCAGAGCAGCAGCAGCAGCAGCAGCAACGCCTTGTTATCTATATTTTTTGCAGCTGAGGAGACAGAGAGTGTCTCCTTTTGTCTCCTGTCTCTGCGTCTCCTTTTCTGTCTCCTTCTTTGCTTTCTCTTGCTCCCAATATCGATCGCTATTAGTCCTGCTGTGCCGCTTAGGGTTTAGGGTTTAGGGTTTGGGGTTTATGTCAGCTGTTGTGTTTCTGTGTGTGTGTGTGTGTATATCTGTGTTTTTTTTTTCTTTCTTTCTGCTTCTTTTTCTATGTGGATTGGTTTGTTGTAATAAATACCAAGTGTTTAGGGTTTAGGGTTTAGGGTTTAGGGTTTAGGGTTTATGTTTGCTGCTGCAGCAACGCATGCAGAAGCGTTTGGTGAGAAAGCAGCAGCGGCTAGAGGCGCAGCAGAACCACTGGGGTGTCACTGCATCTGCTGCTATCCTGGATCATATCTACGACGCCCATGCACTAGCAGAGAAACTCTTCGGTACTTTCTCGAGGGTTTAGGGTTTAGGGTGTAGGGTTTAGGGTTTCCAGCGCATGGTCTAGGGTCTAGGGTTTAGGGTTTAGGGTTTAGGGTTTACGCGGGAGGTGCCTGGGTAGGGGTTAACGAGCATTGCGAGCCTCTCTCAAATTAGGGTTTAGGGTTTAGGGTTTAGGGTTTGTGCTTTGTGTTTGTTCCTGTTTCATCGACTAGCCCTTTTGCCAGAGTGAGTGTTTAGGGTTTAGGGTTTAGGGTTTAGGGTTTAGGGTTTAGGGTTTGTGTGTGTGTATACAGCTCGTATTCGTCAGCAACGAGAGAGTTTCAGTACTCGTGTGGTGTTTATGAATTTATTATCTCGTTTGATATCTCACCATAAACTTTATTTATTTAATTTTTATATTTATATAGAAAGATATATAAAACCAACACAGAGACTGTCTCCTTCTCTCCTAGCCATCACCACAAACGCAGTGCATGCAGCTGTCCCCCCGCAAGAAATAAAACCCTTAATCAAAACCCTCGCAAACAACTTCGTCAATGATACACAAACAGAAGATGTTATTACTCTAGGCATCAACGCAGTAAACCCTAAACCCTAAACCCTAAACCCTAAACCCTGGGAGTTGTAAAAGCTATTACACTCGGCATCAACGCCCGAAACCCTAAACCCTAAACCCTAAACCCTAAACCCTAAACCCTGGGCTTTGTGAAAGCTAAACACATACGCACGCAGACAAATACTATGCTAGATCTTACACCCTTAACTTATCCTCAACTCTAAACCCTAAACCCTCGACACACAATAGACCCTAAACCCTAAACCCTCTATACACCTCAAACCCTAAACCCTAAACCCTCAACACGCCGTAAACCCTAGACCCTAGCCCCTAATCCTGTAAGAATCTCCCTTAGGTTGCACTTGTATGGGTTTTTCCTTGTGTATACCATAAAATATCTAGGGTTTAGGGTTTAGGGTTTAGGGTTTAGGGTTTGTGTTGCGTGTTAGATAACGGAGATATGCAGCCGTAACCCTTTATGTATGACATCTGAGCTGCTGGGGGACTTGCTGCAGTATACAAAACATAAACGCAGCAAAAGCGTCTCCGCTGCTGCTCGGGGTCTCCTCAACCTCTACAGAGAGATACACCCCACACTCCTACCCAGGGCCTTCTTAGGCAAAGAAGCAGCTATACAAATACAAAGAGACAATGTAAGTTTTTTTTTTTTTTTTTTTTTTTTTTTTTTTTTTTTTTTTTTTTTTTTTTTTTTTTTTTTTTTGATGTCTCTTTTTTTTTTTTTTAATCTCTGCTTAGGGTTGTGGTGTCTTTCTCTCTGTCTTTGTTTTTTGTCTCCTTTTTTTTTCTTTCTGGTTTTCTCTGCTTCTTTGTTTTCTCCTTTTTTGGCTGTCGGTGTCTCTTTTTTTTATTGTCTCCTTTTTTGGGTGTCTCCGTGGTTCGTTGCTCTGCATACTTGTTGCTGCATTTGTATTTATATCTCTTCTTTCTTTTTTTTCTCTCTTCTTGGTTTTCTGTCTCCTTTCTGTCTCTTGTATAAGAAACAGCAACAGCAGCAACAGCAGCAACAGCAGCAGCAGCAGCAGCAGCAAGAACATCTGCTGCTGTCTGCTAGCGACTGTCTCCTTTTAGCAGCAAGAAGGAGACACTGGAGGAAAAGGAGACAGAAAGGAGGCAAGCGATGCAGCAGAGAAGCAAAAGGAGACAAGAAAGGAGACAAAGGAGACAGTTGCTTGTCTTTGGTTTTGTGGGGTGTACAGGTGTCTCCTCCTGTCTTTGGGGCCTCAACTGTCTCCTCCACGCTGCAGCTGCTGCCGCAGCTAGAAGCCTTAAAAAAGCAAACAAAGGAGCAGCTGCAGCAAACCCTCGGAGTTGCAGCAGCAGACGGAGACAGCGGGGAGGAGACAGGAGAAGAGACAGAAGGAGACACAGAAGAGGAGACAGAGGGAGAGACAGAGGGAGAGACAGAGGGAGAGACAGAGGGAGAGATAGAATTAGAGACAGAAGGGGAGACAGAGGAGGAGACAGAAGAGGAGACAGAAGGAGACAGCAGCGAGGAGGAGGAGACAGAGGAGACAGATGACGAAGCAGAAGAAGAGACAGAAGGAGACAAAGAGACACAAAAAAAAACAAGAAAGGAGACAGCTAAAAAGGAGACAGATGAGAAAGCAACAGAGAGCAAGAAGGAAAAGAAAATAAATAAAGAAAAGGAGACAGATGGAGACAAAGAAAGGAAAAACCAACTGCAGCAGGAGACTGCAGCAGGAGACACCGCTGCAGCAGCAGCATCACCAGAACCAGCAGCAGCAGCAGCAACAGCACCATCATCAGAACCAGCAGCAGCAGCAGCAGCAGCAGCAGCACCATCATCAGAACCACCAGCAGCAGCAGCAGCAGCAGCAGCAGCAGCAGCAGCAGCAGCAGTGCCGTGTGGCGGTGAGCGTCTCCTCACAGACGCAGACTTTGCTGCTCTGCGGCTGCTGCGGGCGAAGCAGATAGTGCAGCAGGTGAGGGGGGGCCCCCGGGGGGGCCCCCGGGGGAGAGGGGCAATGGAGATAGAGACAGAGAGAGACGAAAAGCTGCTGCGGCTGCTTACATCTGAGCAGCAAAATGACATAAACTGCAGCAGCAGCAGCAGCAGCAGCAGCGAGGGAGAGGATACCGATGAAGACACAGAAAGAAATAGACAGGATGTGAGTTTATAAAAATTTTTACTTTTTTTTTGTTTTTTTTTTTTTTTTATATTATATAATATTATATAATATTATATAATATTATATAATATTTTATAATATAATATAATATAATATAATATAATATAATATAATATAATATAATATAATATAATATAATATAAAAAAATAAATACAGACAGTTGCTGTTTGTGTTGCTGCTGCTGCTGCAGCTGGTGTTGTTTCTGTTGCTTTTTTGCATGCAGCTGCATGCATGCATGCATGCATGCATTTTTTCTGTGTGTGTGTGTGTGTGTGTGTGTGTGTGTTTTTTTTTTTTTTTTTTTTTTTTTTTTTTTTTTTTTTTT